TGTTGTCCAGGGATGTTCATCTGTTATTAAGGCCTTATCACAATAAGGTAGAGATTGATGGCCAGATTAATGCTGTGGAACTGATACTGGGAATGGAAGATTTTTTGAAATGTTCCAGCACCCCACAGGAATTGTGRTTCTTGCCAACACACCAATTTATGTATTTTCAAAGGATTCAAAGATGAATTTATGAAATAAATAAAGATAATATGACAGTAGAGTGTTTTGTGTTCTGATTATCCAACTGAGTGGACCATAGTCAGCAGCAATTTAATCACTTCTTGATTGACTTTGTACTTGTCAAAATCCTCAGTCAGTTCCTTGCAAGCTTCTTCAACTACACAGGATCCATACAAATTTGTCCTTCTCCTTTTTGACAGACACCTAGCTCTTTCCATAAAAATTTCCCATATAAGAAATGTGTTCTGCTCAAATTGCCTTTATTTTTGCTCACTTCTTGCTTCTTCTTCATGTATCAAGCAAACTCCTCCTCCCAATACCAGGGGCAATGGATACCAAACTCACACTTGTAGAGGCAATCTATGCCTTGCCTTTCTTTGCTCTCCATAAACAACAGTTTTCATTGCCTTCCATCCCTTTACATCCCATGTGAGAAAGCAACCAAAGGGCTGACAATCATAACCTGTAAATGTTAATAGGCTCCCTAGCTACTGCGTGTTAATACTTGGTTTACAATAGAGGAGTGAGGTTATTCACTAGCTACTTGGGATTTAGCCTCRCACCCCCAACCTTAACTCCAAAAGGCTGGGGCAAAACCCAGCCTTGCCCAAATGGTGGATACATTGTTTATTGACAGTCCTAACAAGAGGAGAAAGTGAGTTCCATTTTTTTTTCTCAGGTACACTGGCCCAGTTGTGTCCAATTCTCTCCTCTTCACCGAGTTTGATTTTGAACCTAGTATACCAATATTGTTGTAGCATTCCTTGTCTTTAGAGTTGCTCAATGCTAGATAACCACACAAAAGATACCATATAATGATACCTAATGCCCAAACGTGAATGTCACTGTTTTGGGGGTATCTGTTGTTGTCATTAATTGACGCATATCAAGTCTGCCATGTTCTTGGCTGCCTTTTGCCAGATTGTTCTGGACTCTATTTTGTCAAAACATCCCATCTTGCTGCTCAGCTGTTGCCTTGTCATCCTTGTGAGGTTCCAACCCTCCAAAATCTCTGGTTCTTTGTCATCATTTTTTCAACATTGCTCATTGTTGTTCACCATTCTGAAATGATATGAGTATGGATAAACCTCAATCAGTTCTGAAACATGTAATTGGTTGCCACATTGTGCCCTTTTCTTGTAGCTGTGTTGTTTTTCCAGTAAACCCTCTAGGTTTCTTACAATTTCCATGTTTTTTGTACCCACCAAAACCAAGCTTGTTCCCTGTATCCTTGCACATGTTGTGCTTTTGATCCGAGAACATGAGTCCATAAAGATCCTCATTGGAAAGTGCAGTCCACTGTTGAAAACTTATTTTTTCTGCCTCCACCAGTACACTGCAATCTGACACCATATGTGAAGCCACAAACACCAATTTATCTGTAGTTTAGCAGATTGGGTGGCCTGACTTCATTCCTTATTGGGGTATGGGCACCCATTGGACTTTAATTGGTGTCCTTGGGTTGTGTCAGCTTTAGATCCTATCCCAATGTTGCCATAGAACTCTTTTCTGCCTTGTGTGTTGAAATCCAGGTAACCACATAATATGTACCAGAGAATGATCCCCAGTGTCCATGCATATCTGTTGTTCCAAACTTTGAGTAAACCTATCTTGTTGTCCAGGGATGTTATGCAATTTACAGCCCTTAGCTAGATTAGCCTCGCCTCTAGCTCATGGACCCGCCTGACCTTGCTATCAATRTGCCTTTGCACTATCTCTAGCCTGCATCCATTTAAGATTTCAATAACCTTACAACCATGTATCTCAGCAATGGGGGCATGCACTCCTGACCATACCTCATTAACTGATGCCATTGTGGAAGTAATGGCATCAGATTGTTTGGAAGCCTGATTATAATTCAAACTTAATGCCAATAGGCCCTTTTGGCTAGGTGACAGAAAGTTCAAGTAAGTCAATGGTTTCATTGTACTATGAATGCCACTGTAGAGACAGGACTCACATAGAATGACTGAGGTGGGGCATTGAGTCTGTGCAGGGACAGCTTCCTTAAACCTCAAATTTCTGTATGTACACAACTGTACTACATTTTGAGCTTTGAAGCTCAAAATGTGTGGCTTTTTCTTTTTATCAATGCCAAGTCAAATTCCAGATAGAAACCCCAAAATAGTTTGATATGCTTCTCAGATATTACAAGGGGGAGTAGTTACAGCCTGCTTTCTTGCAAACTGGAGGAGACAGAACGAAGTGGTGGAGAGTTGTGTGTCTATAGGACAGTACTTGCAGCAAGTAAACATAGAAACACAAAAATTAATATTATATGTAGTTCTTCAGTGTAATAAAGGGGGGAGACTTGGTTGATACATATTGTGTGCTATCCAGACGCATTTAGAAAGGGTAGTAGATAGTACTTTATGTTGGAAGCACTGGGAAAGGATCTGCTTTTCTGAATAGAAATGTATTCCTTTGTATTCTTTGTTTTCTTCTTTGATTGTGGTTTGGGCTTTCTTTTATTTATCTGCATAAGTTTCTTCAGAGTGCCAGGAGAACCTTCAGAATTTGTCTTTTGGATGAACAGCAGCGTTCTTGTATGGAATGTTTTATACAACAACATCCTTGTCGTCCAATTGTACTGTGTAGCAAGGATCTAGTAGTAACACTAGCATGGTGGCCAGTATGGTAATTGAAGCATCAATGCTGATTATTCTGTATAGAGTGTGGTGTACTAGTAGAGTTCTACAGTACAGTACTACTACTAGTACTACAGCAAATGTATTGCAGACACAACACTAAGATGAAGTACTAGTAGTATACTTAACACATACTACTAGTACTACTGATACAAGCCATTGTTATTCTACTACTCGTGCAATCTGCTGCTGATAAGAGCTACTGATACAGGCCACTATTACAGTATGGTGCGTATGCAACTACTACTAGTACTACTACTAGTTTTGTACTAATACCCTAATGCTAGTACAAAAACAACAACAAGCTGCTGAATCAAGCTTCGGTACGGTACACAGGCAGACGTCAACGGAATAAGACGTTGTTCGGGTACGCTCCGTACCCGTACGTACTCTCACTACGTCCGTACAATCAAAGATCGAAGAGGACCTTCCAAATCAAAGTTCGAAATTTGGTAAAAAAAATAGATGGTCCTTGATACGACAACGATCGCAAAAGAACAAAGAAGGAATTTTCTGTTGAGACTGCTGCCCCCGGTACAGAGGTCAAAGAAATGCAATAAAGTTGTGATTCTAAATAGTATCACAATCAAGACATGTCACCTAAAGTGAAAAATGATGACGACAATGATGGCACAGCCGATGACTCGCCTTATATATCAAGAATCGAGACGTCTTTCCAGCCCATGGACGTCGCGTTTCATCCCCATCGCGACAACTTAGTAGCGGCGGCGTTAGTCGACGGCAGTCTAGAAGGTAGGTCMTCACTATAATCTGATGTGCTTCATGAGCTTCTACTACGCCATTCTAACCAACGTGCCGATCCTATCATCATGGCAGTTCACGATTTTCGAAAAGACGAAGACATCGACCCGACAGATAGTGACGACGAATACGAATCGCTCTTGTCGTCCTTGTCTTTACACGCACCCTCAAACTACACCGAGAGATCACCTTCCAAAAAAACTCCAACTGCTTCCTGCAAATGTGTTGCTTTTTCCCCCGACGGTAGAAAGCTTTATACCGGCGGATCCCCTTACGGCGATATGTGCGCCATCGACGCCGAGCGAGCCTGTTCTTTCTCCTTGAACAGCAAAAACGAGCCTCTTTGGAGGATACAATCGGCTACTGCATCTACAGATTCTGTGGTCACTAACAATGACGAATACAACATCAACAAGAACAAGAGCAAGARCAATCCGTTGGTCGCTCTCTACCCATTTTGTAAAGATGGTGAGGCAGGCACTCCGTTGCTGGCGACCGGCGATGACAACGGTGGACTGCGGATATGGGACGAACGCCTTTGTGGTGGTAGCAGTGGTGCAAGTTTTTCCAGCAGTCGTCCGAAAGGATGTGTTCTAGAATGGAACGAACAGCAAGATTACATAAGTGGAATCGAATACTACCCTCACAGCAACGGAAAAAACCACGACGGGAACAATATTCTCCTTGCTACATCGGCCGATGGGTCGTTGGGAGTTTATGATTTGCGAATGAATAAGGGTACAGTTGCAGATACGACGCGTACATCGGACCATCTCGACGATGAATTGCTCTCTTTATGTGTTTTGAAATCGGGTAGGAAGATTGTTTGTGGGACACAAACCGGGGCCCTTTCGATTTTCAGCTGGGGAACGTGGGGTGACATCAGTGATCGCTTTCCAGGACATCCGTCTTCCGTCGAAACCTTGCTGAAGGTCGATGAAAACACGATTTTGACCGGCTCATCGGATGGTCTGATACGGGTCGTACAAATTCATCCAGACAAACTCCTCGGGGTCCTGAACGACGACATCGAGGGGCACGAAGGATATCCCGTCGAAAAAATAGCCTTCAATTCGAACAGAGACGTCGTTGGTAGCGTCACACATGATAACTTTGTTCGATTGTGGGACGCACGCATTTTGAAAGACGACGACGATGATCATAGCGACAACGACAGCGGCGGCGATGACGATGACGATGACGATGTAGAAGATTCGAAAAAGCCTGCCGGTGTAGCGAAATCTACAGGGTCTTCTCAAGTTTATATGAGTACCAGCACACGTCGTGCCGACGAGAAACACAACAGTGATGACGAATGGGAAGACATGGACGACAACAAAAAGAGCGGTAGTGGCAGCGACGATGATAGTGATGACAGCGACGATTCCGAACCTGAACAAGAAACTGCAAACGACCGACGAAAGAAACGGTTGAAGACAGAAAACGAGAAATTCTTTGATGATTTGTAAATTTGGAATTGTAGCATCGTTCAAATACATCGAACATCAAATACTCACACTATTAAAGACAATTACCATGACACACTAGAATCAAGTGCATGAGAATCAATCATCATTCCTCCGCATTTTACGCTACCGATAGTAAAACCAACAAATCATATTGTTGTAATCTGAGGAGTTGATTCCATGGCAAACAGACATAGATGACACCAATGAGGAGCACCGGCAGTAGTAGCACATGTTGTTCATCATGAAGGACAAGAAGGGAAAGAACGAACCTATTGCAATAGCCAGAGGTCGAGCAACAAGGTTGTCCTGTTGTATTTAGAGACTTTCTGTAGGAAGGGGAGCACTCTTTCCTTGGAGCCCTGGGAGAAACTGACACAAAAAACTAGAATCACAGCAACTTCCATCAATACTGTTGGTGGTATTGGTCGTTTGAGTCAACGGTAGAGGACAAAGTGAATCCTGTTTGAAATTATATGGATGAATGAAATTACTGATTCAGATGTAGATATAGTAGTACTAGCCTGTCAGTCCGGGCAGAGAAGAGAGAGTGAATCTGCAGAATCTACCATAAGAAAGAATACTTCGTTGTTACTTCTAGTACTACTAGGGGAGATTTGAATTCATCAAGTACTACTAATACTAGTAGCTGGTCATTTTTGCAGAGCTCTGCGCTGATTGTCCAATGGAATTGAAAGGAGGAGGAAGAAGAAGCCAGGAAGAGTCTTTACGGTTGTTGTTGGTGGTGGTATTAGTATTAGTATTACTAGCTACAACTAGCAGTAYTAGTTGTACAATTACGTACCTACCGTACGTGCCTTCTACGAACTGGACCTCCCCCACGATCAAAAGGAACTGAAATAGCGTTTGCGGTTGGATGCGTCTTTTTGAAGTTTGGCATGGAACTGTTTGTTGGTGTGAGGCAGTACGAGTTACGGTACGGTACCACAGTTGGTGACAAAACTAGAGAACGCCGTGCCAGAGATCTCGATCCGAGGAGAAGGCACAAAGCGTTCTTCCTTCGCTGAGCAGTTCAGGTCAGTTTTCGAATAATTGCAAAATCCCAGCCAAAGTGTCTTCGCACCGCGGACCATCGCTACACAAGCACCACCCGCTTCCGGAACCTAGCCCACCAGAGTCTGCACCGTCTGCACCGTCTGCACCGTCTGCACCACCCACACCAAATCACCGGACCACTCCAACCAAAGAATACTTTCACGGATTGTTTCCTCTCACAACAGATTGCGAACACAACCATGATGTCGACAAGTGCAAGCAATCGGTTCGCGAAGTCTTTGCTGCTGAACGCGTTGCATCGATCGTCCCCACGAAAGCCCCTTCGGCATTCACTCGCGTCTTTCTCTGCCCTCGAATATGCTCCAGGAGCTGAAAGAAGCGATGTTGCACGCAACAGAGGACTCGGACTCGGCTATTCCTTTTATTCAACAACCCGTCACCTAGCCGGGAAGAAGAGAATCGAAAAAGAATTCGAGTACGAACCCCTCTTCCAGTCGAATGTTTACGATACGAGCTTGGAAGCAAACGCGGAGACAGAATTCGTGCAAATCTTGCCACCCGAGGGACACGTCGAAACCGTCGTCGTGGACGGAGAAGAGTACCTGCGCCTCGTCGATCCAAAACGCACGCTGTCCGAGTTGTCCGAAAGAGCCTTTGGAGACATTGCACACCTCTTGCGTCCGAAGCACCTGGGCCAGTTGCGATCCATCCTGGAAGATCCCGAAGCCTCCAAAAACGACAAGTTCGTGGCTCTGGAACTCTTGCGAAACGCCGACATTGCCTCCGGAAGGATCCTGCCGGGATGCCAGGACACCGGTACCGCTATCGTTAGCGCGAAACGTGGCCACCGAGTCTTGACCGACGGTGACGACGAAGAATACCTCAGTTTGGGGGCCTACCAAGCCTACAAGAACCTGAATCTGAGGTACTCGCAAGTTGCGCCCCTGGATATGTTCAAGGAGAAAAACACCGGAACAAACCTGCCGGCACAGATCGATGTTGCGGCTGCCAAGGGAGACGAATACAAATTCTTGTTCATGGCAAAAGGAGGTGGTTCGGCCAACAAGACGTTTTTGTACCAGCAGACGAAAGCTCTTCTAAACCCAGGGAGTCTCGAGGAATTCTTGGACAACACGATCAAAAGCATTGGAACCTCCGCTTGTCCCCCCTATCACCTGGCAATTGTCGTCGGAGGATTGTCGGCCGAACTCAATCTGAAGGCAGTCAAGATGGCATCCACCAAGTTTTACGACGATCTTCCCACGACCGGATCGGAGGGCGGAAGGGCCTWTCGCGACGTTGAGTGGGAAAAACACATCCTGAAAATGACGCGGAACATGGGAATCGGGGCACAATTTGGTGGCAAGTACTTTTGTCACGATGTTCGCGTGATACGCTTGCCACGCCACGGTGCCAGTTGCCCCGTCGGAATCGGTGTGAGCTGTTCGGCCGATCGACAAATTCTTGCCAAAATCAACAAGGATGGGGTATTCGTCGAGCGTCTGGAAACAGATGTCGCCAAGTACATCCCGGACGTCACGGAATCCGATCTGGCGAACGACGACGACAACGACACGGAGGCTGTGTCGATCGATCTCGATTCCATGTCCATGACTGAATTGCGGGAAACCCTAGCCAAGTATCCAACGAAAACCAGGTTGAGCCTGACGGGAACCATCGTGGTGGCACGAGACATTGCCCACGCCAAAATGTTAACAAAAATTGAGTCGGGCGAGGGGTTGCCCGACTATGCCAAGAACAATATTATTTATTACGCTGGGCCCGCCAAGACTCCCGAGGGATACGCTTCCGGATCCTTCGGTCCGACTACCGCCGGAAGAATGGACGCCTACGTCAAAAAATTCATGGAAAATGGTGGAAGTTTTGTGACCCTGGCAAAAGGAAATCGGAGCAAGGCTGTCACCAATGCATGCAAAAAGTACGGTGGGTTTTACCTGGGATCGATCGGCGGTCCCGCCGCTATCTTGGCCAAAAATTGCATTAAGAATGTGGAGGTTCTCGACAACGAAGAGGACGGGATGGAAGCCGTTTGGAAGATAGATGTCGTCGATTTTCCCGCCTTTATTGTTGTCGATGACAAGGGTGACGATTTTTTCAAAGAGTGGTTGGGTTGAAAAATGGAATAAGGAATCCATTGACTTGCTGAAGTAAGATTTCAACAGGCTAGAATCTATTTTCAATGATAAATATAACTTTACAACTTGAGCAACATTTGGGTGATATATTCTTCACTGGACTAAGAACCTCCGTAGACTGTTTTTATTTCCTCCTTGATATATAATACTTCTACTTCTCAATAGAGTTTCAATATTTTTCCTTCGAATGGCTTCTTGTTTACCCGAGCCGTTTCTCGCGCCACGATCTTATTGTATCTTGGTGCACCCTTGACAGGATGTTCCCAAAACCGCTGACTTTTCCCGATGGTAATCAAAGATATAGGTGAAGGATTGTGATACACCATCGCAGCAACGTCATGGTCCTCGTGGCCTTCGAGATACCCACCTTTGGCTACTCTGATTTTTGAAAATGGCGCCTCTTCCGCAACAAAGGCGGCCAAATCCGCAGACATCAAATAACACTGCCCTGCTAGATAAAGGTGTACCCCATCATATTCGGTTCCCCAGTGTGATTCGTACCTAGGCATGTCTGCTTGGTTGTGTCCTAGTTTCGAGTCCTTGAAATACCACGGCCGCTTGTCTCGGAGGGCACCAGCAAAAATATTCTTGTTGTAAGGTGCGGGAGGCAATCGATTGTGCGCAAATTCCAAAAAGTCGTGCAACTTCAACATTGAATCGCTGTCGAACTTAACAATGTAGTCTATAGGCGTTTCTGTCTTTTCAAAGTGTTTGGCCATTTTGCTACCAAAATAGAACCAAGTAGGTGATTTCCCATCATTCATGTTTTCTCTACGGTACAGTATGCAACAAGTGAGTTAGGATGCGCGAGAATCAAACGACAATCGTCATAGCAAAGAATTCATGTGATGCAATTTGCATTCAATTCATTCCGCGTCTTACTTACCGGATGTTCAGATGCGTAACGTCGTCCCAGTTGATGTCTTCCTTCATCGGACTTTTGTATCCACCGGGCAATTCGATAGGAGTATCAACGGTGTCGAATTCCTCTAGACGTTCGGTCGGGGCGTTTGGATCCTCATTGGCTCCCGTAACAAAGGTATAAATCAATTCGCACTTTTTTTGAAAATCAATGTCATCGCTGTTACGGAATTGATTCAAAGTGCACACACGGTCGTCCTTCCATACATTATTGAACAAATTACGGTGCCATTTACGATGACTTGCATCAAACATATTATCGCTAGAAAAAATACCCATCAGAGTTCTTGAATTTCTCAAACGACGAATGGTTTCATCGTCGTCGTCAGTCAGAAGTTTCCGTCCAACTTCCAAAGGGAATTTTTCCTCTGTTTCTTCTTTCGTTTGTCGTTGCGACGACGAGTAAAACTCAGGTGGTATCATATCAGACCCATCCAAGTTTTCATGTATAATTCGGTTTGTATGCGATGTGGAAATCATTAAGTTATTGAGGAACAAGGCACCAATGGCTCCCATAAGGATCAATCGTAGCTGAGACGCGTTTACGACGGTCCCGGTTGCCCGCCCCAGTCTGTTGCTCATACTTCCAGAATTCGTTCTCGTTGTTTCTAGCACTGGCGTTCTTGCTGTGTTAAAGTTTAAGTATAAGTCGTGGCATCTATAAATGGTGATTCACATTGATTACGAACTCGTTTTTGTTCGTTTCTAGTGGAAATGATGGAGAGAGATGATGGTGGTGGTTTGATTTCATTGAAAAGTTGATTTCGAGTTCGTACGGTACGTATGTACCGTATAGGACATACATGTTCCGTTTGAGAGCAGCGATGTAATCATTCATTTTTCAAAAACAGAGGGGCTATTCATTTAACGCCGTTTTGGTTGAGGATTTTCGTTCAAAAATCCCTTTACGCACGCCAGCCTCTACAGTATCAGGASAGAAAAATTAAAAAAACGTGCTCGTACAGTACTCCTACTTACAGTAAGACATAAATTTAATTAGGCCTATCAATTGAACAGATTATGAATACAAAAAACATGCTGTAATTATTTATTTCTAGTACGTACTTCTTCGGTTTATCAACAACCGTCCCGTAGTAGCACCTACTACGCGTTTCGTAACAATTGAAAATGGGCATGCAGCTCGCCAGAGAGCGAAAAGTTTCAATTTCAAGTTCTAAACTTAAATTTGAAGTTATGAACTTCAAAATGTCCTGGTAGAAAGTCTACAGGTTCTACTGAGGTAGTTTTTGGATGGCATTCATGATTAAAAGGCTGGATTCATGATTGACTCACCTCAATCGCCCTGAACCATTTTTTTTTGTTTTGAGGGGAATCGCGATTCGACCATTCAGTCATTTTAAAAAACTAGCTTAATAGAACAACCTGGTACATGATGTACGAGCAAAAGTTCATAACTAGTTTTGATGTGTTGATTCAAGCATCGATTCCAGACACAAAAAAAAAAAACATTGATTCCCCAACAATGTCAATCCACAAGATGGTTTTAACAAGACAGGGACAGCAGCAGCAGCAAGCTCCGCCAGCACCAATTGTTGGAGGAGGAGGCAGGAGATCTGGAACAACCAACTATTCCACTGAGGAAATAATTGACTTGATGTATGCTATCTTAGCAAGGCTTTCTATTGGAAGTGACCAGTGGAATGAAGTAGAAGCCACTCATACCCAGAACTATCCTTATGTCAATAGGGACATCCCCTCCATCCACAGGAAGTTTGCATCCCTTCATAGGAAGAACATTCCTACTGGAAATCCTAACTGTCCTTTGGCAGTGAGACTAGCCAAGAGGGCCAAGCGCTTTATTGGAGAGAAGGCTGACACTGGAAATGGAGAGGAGCACTTTGATATTGAAGAAGGATATGTCCATCCTGATGGTTGTGGTGGTGATCCTGAGGGTAATCATTAAGCTCCTGCTGAAAACAGCAACAGCGGCAACAACCGTGGCAATGTTAGTTGTGACAGGAACAATGGCAACAACAACTAGAACACCAATGCAAACAACAACATGGCTGAGGACAATTACATCGATGCTTGATTCACCCTTTAGAGAAAGTCTAAATCTAGACTGGAAACCAAGAATGAAAATCTGTTGTATTTAAGACTGGTGAATATTTTTTTTTAGCTAATAGAACATTGTGCCTATCTCTTAGAGACGACAAGAAGGCGTTGGCGCCATCATAAAAAGACAACAAAAACAATGTCCTGTGTCTTAGTCACAGCCACTCTATATCTTAGATCCAAACAAAGAGAGGCACAACTGCTGGAGGTCTTCTTTTGTCAAAGACCATGAAGCTTTGATACAAGGAGAGGGGAGGAAGATCCCTCTCACAATATTCATTGCACATGCAAAGATGTCGACTGGTCCTTATGCTACCATTCTCCTTGTAATGGAGAGCACTTGCCTCCACCAGTGCCAGTCCCTCCCTTGGGAGTGTAACCAAAAGTAGAGGGGTTGGGCTGTAAGGCTGGTACTGCAAACTAGTACTTGGAAGAAGAGCTTGTCTCATTGATGACTCTCATCAAGGAGATCCTCCCCATTGGTAAGGGTGACTGGCTCATGGTGGTTCACAGACATGGACAGAGCTATCCCTATGGTAGAACAAAGGACTCCATTAAAACAAAATTCAATTGCTTGAGGAGGCAGAAGGTGCCTACTGGAAATCCAATTGTCCCTGAKTCGGTTCAGAGGAGAGGCCCACTGCTTGATAGGTATCAAGGCAAATCTTGGAACTGGAGAGGGAACCTTTGATCCAGTCAAAGGTTACATTGATGATGAGGATGTAAAAGGTTTCTTGGAGAATGCTTTGACTTCAAAGTCAAGCAACATGGCGTCAACTTCCAAGAAAACAGACATCAACRATGAATCCATTGTGGTGACAGCAAGAAAGAGATCCTATGGAAAGCTGAAGAAGGAAATTGCTGAACAGGATGTTGTTCTTACTAAGGAGTATCTCATGCAGCAGGACAAAAGAGAAGCTGAAAGAGACAGGACGTTAACCAAACTAACCATCCTTCCCACCACCATGGTGGACACTAACGTCATAAGCACTGCCAATGCAAGGCAACACATTGTATTGTATTGTTGCTTTGTGTTGTGAATCATTGTGTTGCTGCATTGAATTGTCGCCTTTTGTGGAATTGTTGAATCGTAATGTCGCATTGCATTGTAAGTGTTGAGTCGTTAAACTGATCTAACAAGAATGTCACTTCTCGTTTCAACCACAACAATTTGACCATGGGATTCATACAAAAAATGCATTATTTTCAACTGGAGATACATTCCTTTCTTCATGGAAGTATACAACAGCAAGGTCCTGAAGTTGATGCAGCTGCTCCATTGCCTTGCAGGTTGCTGGTGGTGTCTTCTTGAAGACTGTTGAAGATCTGATTGTGCCCAATGCTACTGCACTGGTAGTTGTACAAGTTGACCAGCAAGTGGATAATGATTTTCCTCTCTCCATAGTCCTCCAATCAAAGCCTATCCTTCATCCTGGGGAACTGTACTTGGATCATCCTCATCCCCCACTTGGACATCTGTCTCAGCAACTTGGTGTCCCTATTTATTAGGAGACTATCTTCATCCTCTGAATCTGTCTGAGAACTTTGAATCAGATACTAGTCCCTGTTCAGCAAGCCAAAAGCTGAATCAACAACAACCTTTGATCCTCCAGCACAGGTGCTGTCCACTATGGCCATCGTGTTGTAGACTCCATAGTCACTGATGGATCTATCATGCCACATGCCTGGCGATTGAAGGTTCCAATGCAGATCCTACCATCAGGTGCAAACACAAATACCCCATTCACATAAGCATCTGCCTTCCATCCATTGTAGAAGAYCTCTTGTTTGAGCCACTCTTCTGAAGACTGGATCTCAACCTTGAGCCCATCTGCTGCTTTCCAGATGTGTTGTTCTCCAAGTCTTGGATATTTTGCTCCAATTGCTCTAACATACTCATTGATTTCTTGCTCACTTGGCAGACTAACCATGGCAAGTGGATGGTTGTGAAGCACTGATAGAAGGATCTTCATGGAGAACTTGAGCCATTTGTACATCACTGTCAATGCAAGACCAAAGGCCATGGCCATTCCCCTTGCAACAGAACCTCTAGTCCTGTACCAGAAGAGCACTAGTCCAAGACAACAAGTAGCGTCTGCCTCCCTAGGCTTTCCCTTCTTTTTTCTACTCCTAGTGGGAGGAGGAGGAAGAAGAATCTCATTGTTCTTGTTGACTGTGTATCTGTTGAAAGCTGGAGCAAATAGCCCAAGGAGATCCCTGAAGACCTTGTGGTCCACTCCACAACAGTTTAGAAGTGCTTGTTCTTCCCCCATGTGGAAGAGGAAGACAAGGGGGGAGTCGGCATACCTATGGATTGCTATGTGGGGTGTTCTTCTGTCCCTTCTGCATCTCTCCTTTAGGGTCTTTTGTTTTCCTTCCCATTCATCCACCAAGTGATCCCTATGTTTGGTTGCCCAGTATATGCAAAGAGTCTCAATGGCACCCATTGCGTCTCTTTTGTTTGCTGGAAGGGAAGTATGGTCTAACATTTAGGATAGTGCAAGGAACATACAAATTTCCTTTAATAAGGCGCCTTCAAGACACATAAATTATGTCCCAATCAGTGCTCTTAGTCAGTACTTTCTATTTCCTTTCTGTGTTGCAGCAAAGAGAGCAACAGTACAAGGAGGAGGAGGCCGGCAACCTCAAATAGGGAGCTCACTGTTGCCAAACTGGCCTTGATGAGGGAGCTCACTRTCGCCAAACCAGCCTCAAAGAGGGAACTCATTGTCCAATCTTCGCACTATTTTTGTAGTAACAGCAAGAAGAAAGAAGATGGCAAAAGCTGGCAATACGGACTGGAAGGCTGGTGTAGCCAACTACTCTCATTATGAGCTACACAGTCTCATGGGCATGATACTTGACAGGCTTCCCATTAGTGGAGATGACTGGGATTCCATTGTGAATGATCATGCAAAGTTGTGGCCCTTCTTTAGAAGCCAGACATCCATCAAGACTAAGTATGCAGCTGTAAACAAGAGGATTGAGAGCTCAACTGGAAATACCAATATGCCGGAGTACCCATATCTTGATTGGTCAGAAGGCAAATCTCCATATTGGGGAGGAGGACTTTGATCTGAAGGAAGGCTTCATCAAATTTGAGGCTGTGGATGGTTTATCAACCAAAATTGGTGTCCCTGCTGGTGTTCTTGCTGAAGTAGAAGAAGAAGCACCATCAATTGTTCTTGATGGAGAGGAATTATCATCTGCTGAAGTGTCCCCTCCTATTTTGGTGGAGCAAGGATGCCAGGAGCATCTTCTTCTGTCTTGACACCTTCCCTTGTGTTACAATTRACTCCTATCCCCAGGAAGAGGGCCTACAAGCAGAATAAATAGAATGTTCTGGATGCTGCTGCATTCAACAAGTATATTAAAAGCCAGCAAGAAAGAGACAAAGAGAATCATGAGATGTGGAAGGAGACACTTGGAGCTGCAAAGGAAGTTGCAAGGGATTTCCTGGGAGCTGCTGTCACCATGTTCAATCAGTGGCAACAATACAATGCTCCTCCTTTCCACTCTTATCATGGTCCTCTGCCCATCCAACATTCATACAGTTCCACACCTCACGAACCTTCCACACCTCATGAACCTCGTGAACCTCCA